GGGTTTGGGGGGGGGGGTGTCGGAAGGGCGAAGCTTCGGGAAAGAAGATGTAGGTGTGGAGGAGTTGGAGAATATTTTAAATTATTTCCTTTTTCTTTTCTTTGATAGTTTTCTTTTGATTTTAATATTTTTTAATCAAAATTATTGCATTCACTCTCTTTTAAAAGCGTGGAGCCACACACTTTATCTGATTCAACAAAATAAATACCACATACTTTTGATTGACGGTCAAAGGGATTTAAGACAATAATTTTTTTATCAAATAGGATTGTTTAGATGAAAACAAGTGAGGCAGGAAGCGAGATGTCAAATTGAAATAAATACCGGAGTCTACTAAGGTATACTCTATATATCATATTTAGTCTTTTACTCTGCACAAGTACACAACTAGATCCTCCCAATTGCAAATCATTATGAGCTTTTTCTTTTGCCTCATTTCACTCTCTCTCTCTCTCGTTTTAAATTGTTGTAATATTTACTTTCGGAGAGTTCATTTAATTAATTTTCAAAGTTAAATTAGAGATAAAATTAAAATTACATTCTTAAAAATTATAATAAAAATACTAAAAATTATAATTTCTCTTATGACAAAAAGTTTAAATGTTGATCAAAGTTTACTTTCACTCTCGAAGCAAAATATGACAACTAAAAAGGAGTATATAAATTTTTTTTTGAAAAGTTACAGTTGTTTTATTTAGTGAAATTGGAAAATGGACCGTGGAAATTACCGACGTGGTGGCGGTGGAGGTAACCGTGGTCGTGGTAGCTCCGAACAGGAGCAAGGCCGAGGAGGCGGAAGGGGTGGGCCCCAGATGAGTTCATACAATCAGCAGCCACCATTTCAGCCTCCACAGCAATGGGGTAACCAGCCAAGGGCATCTGCTCCGGGTCAATATCAGGGTCGTGGGGATCCTTATAATCAGCAGGGTACGGGTCAGCTCCATACAGCTGGTCAGAATCCGGGTCGTGGTGGTACTGCTTGGGTCAGCCGTGGTGGCGGTGGTACTGCTTGGGCGCGACCACCACCGAAGCAGCGACAACAAGATGTTAGTAGCGGCAGTGGTACTGCTTGGATACGGGCACCGCCACAGCAGCCTCAGCAACATGGTGGTGGCGGCGGCTGTGGAAACCAGCTGCAACGGGATGTGGAACCGAGTAGATCAGGAGCCTCAAATGTTCGTTCTAGGGGTGCACCTTCAGGCTCTAGTCCTTCTCAGTCTTCTGGTATTAACTCATACCCTTACATGGTTGTGTTTTTATTTTATGTCTGCATAAGTACAAGAATTTTAAATCAACTTGATCTGAAGTCCCTTTATACGTGGCGTTTGAAAGTTTTTTGGTCCAGACCGTGCTTCTATTTTATGTTTGGATTCTTTTGAATACGGCTCCTAAATGTTTTATTTTACATTGGATTTGTGATTCTGATATTCACTGTTCTGCTTTTATAGGTCCAATCCACCAAATGGATCGGCAGCCTGTGAAAAAAATGGTATATATTATGTTCGTTGATCATTCAGGCGCATTTTCTTTTTCGGTAAATGGAATTAGACCATCCTACCCAACCAAGAGTAGTCGATAAATACTTAGGGTTCCCTTTTCATAAGAATACAAGAGCTGCGGCGTTCATAGGAGGGGATAGGTTTTGGAGTGAATTCTTTGCATCTTTTCATCTGGATTTTATAGTTCGTAGTACTTTTTTATGTAGAAAAAGCACCCGGAAGTAGGATCTGCGGCAGCAGAAGAATATGCCCAGACGCCTAATTTATTGAAAGCGCATATCCTGATTTATAGGTCTCCGCTTTGAAGTTAGGAATAATCTCATGCCTACGCTGCCTGAATTGCTCTTATATCTCTTATAATTGATCTCATTTCTGCTTGAACATTCAGTGCTGCAAAGTAATTAATAAACAGAGTCTTTACTAAGGCTACTCTGTCTATTTTGCTTCCATTGATTCTATTAAGGATAAAATTTTGACTAAACAGCCATATTTTAGCCAGTAATTTGTTTAAAATATAGCATTACGTCTAAATAAGGCCACTTTATTTAACTTTTGTTTTTTGTCGAGGAACACTTTCAGGATTAAAGTTGAGTTAGTCCTCCAAGTCTTATTTGTGCCTCTTTGTTTCCTGTAGGCAGTTGAAAGCCAAAATCCGGACTACTCTCACTTTGTATCGCTTCCATTAGCCATATATCCTGAACTGGTAAACAAACTCATCAACTTTCAGAACTCAGTTCTTGGAATTACTGAAGTGTCTAAGTCCCCTACCTCAGAATCAAAGGCTTCAGAACTATTAGGTATAAGATCTACGTACTGTGTTACTTTTCTTAAGGACAGGTTAGCTAAAATCCTCGTAAACTTGGCACGGGTTATTAGTTGCACATAGTATTAATTACCCTATGCACTTGGATATTTGACAGCATTTAACCCCTGGATGATCTCATCTCCAGGAAGTGACATACATGCTCTTGCTACGCTCTTTGCATGTCAGCATCTTAGGGGAGTTAAACAATTGGAATAAATAAACCGTTGTATATGACTGTCAAGTAACGGGTGGAAAATACCCCACCTCTAGCTGATTCTTCAATTTCTCGTCACTTGCACGCCCCTAAGCTCTTTGCCATGTCAGCATCTTAGGGGATAAGGACTTTCAAATAGCCAAGTCGAGGAGGAATTAAGATTACTACTAGTTCTGATGTGCTACTAATAATTCGTGCCAAGGATTCATGTACTAATGTTGTTGTAAAAGATGAAAATTGTTCTCTCTTCATTTCTTTATGTTTATTATAATAGCTATCCCTATCTTTCAACCTAGCATGGGGACTCAGTGCTTCTAGTTCTTAATCTCTGACAAAATTCACCAATGTTTTTCCACTCAAACAGAGTTGGGAATTGAGAAGTCCATCTTTATTAATCCAAAAACATTCCACTTGACTGTGCTCATGCTGAAGCTTTGGAATAAGGACCGTTTTGAAGCAGCTGCTCAGGTTTTGCGGGTAAACATTTCTACTTGAATGGCTATTTTGTCCCTTTGTAATATCTTTTTCTCTGTCTAACTTCTCAAAATAAACCAGAGTGTCTCACCAAAAGTACTTGATGCTTTGGAGAGCCGACCTGTGTCTATAAGACTGAAGGGTTTGGTAAGTATTTATCCAAGTTATACAATTATGCACTTCAGGCTGCTATAGTTGATAACCATTACATGTTAATTCTTATCTGCGTAAGTTATAATGTTATATCATCTCCTTATTGAAGCTAATTTTTTTTGTACACAGCTGGTTTAGTTATGACAATTTAACTGGCATCATAAACCTTTCCTTTGAAATTTATCCGTGGAGTTTGTATTTGCTTATCTGCTTGTAATCAATCTTTGGGTGAATCATCTGTTGCTAATCGTCTGCATAAAAAGGTATAGGTTAACGCACAAGAAGTGGATGACCTATTATTGGGGCGGGTCAAATAATGGGGCGGGTATATTATACCCGGATGTAATGACCACAATAAATAGCCATGTGGCCTAGTAATATGTTGTCAACGCATTAAATGGGGCCACACCTATTGTGCCATTAGCGGGAGGGGTAATTTTAAGCCTAGAAATAACATCGTGTGTATTTATGGACCAAAAGGTGGATGCAGGGTAATTTTAGACCATTTACCAAGTAATAGTGGTAGTTTTGGCCCTTTTCCGTAAGAAAAATGATCAAAACACCGTCTTCCACTACTCATCCCATCTCATGTAAGTAGAGTTCAATAACGTAGAAACATGGAAAGATGTTGTAGATTGAGCAGAAGGTGATTAATGGTTTTCTTGCTGTAGCAAATGCACTTCACTATTAATGGCTATCTTGATGCAGCAAAGGATCTAGGATTCATTGAACAAAGTAAGAGAGGAGTGAAAGGAAACAATGGAAGGATAGACTCGTGGTGAGGAATCTCCACCTACCGTAAGATTGTTGGTGCAAGTCACCAAAAGAGCAAAGTAGGAAAGGATCACTCCTCGGCTCAAAGTTCTCGAATGAACATTGAGGGAAGACATCTAAGAGCAAGTCACCTTTCAGTATTCACAACTTTTAGCAACTGTCAAATTGGAAATTTTCATATTGTATTACAGAAACTAATGTTTTTATATTGTTTAGGTTCATATGCATGAAGATCATCTATATTTTGTTTTTTCAGTATTAAAGATTGTCTGAATTTAACTTTCACTTTATCTTTTACTTCAAAAACAAAATGATAGATCTCATACTAGAGATGCTTGAAATGTCCAACTATAAGGTTCGAATAAATTTAAGTTGCCACCTGACGTGTTTGTTCCTTTTTCCCTTTTATAACTGTACATGTGTTGAATGTGATGTAATTTTGCAATGCACCACAAAATTTCAATATTTTGTTGTGCAAAGTAAAATAACACGAGTTAACTTAATCAATTTAGTTGTACTTCGCTAGTGACTTTTTCTTTGGCTTTTTCCTTTTTGGAGAGTAATTGCCGGGCTTGCAGTATGTGTTTACCTCAGATATGCATACGGTCCACTCAGATTTTATTTTATGGATTCTGATGTCTATTTGTTGTGCTATAGCAGTTTGCTAGTTTGAAATATTTTCTTGTGGTTTGATGATTTTCTCTCATTGGCTAATAAGTTAATGGCTTGGGGAAACACTAAAACAAGAAATAAAACCTCTCCAAACAGGATACAGGAATTAGTAGTGATAATACAATTAATATTTTGTAGCGAAACAGTGCGAATTGATGAAGAAACATAGATCAGGCCTGCCTTGAGTTTATATGCTTAAAAATTAAAAGTATTACAAAAAAACAAAAACAACGCATGAGAGTGGAAATGTGAATTAGCAAATAGACTTCTGTAATTTTTTAACTCCGAACCAAACAATTGGTAAATGTGTATTAGAGCCTTCAACTGTGGCACTGGTAGCAATGTTGTATTGTATCTAGAGAATTCATTTTCCTTTTCATCTGACACCAATCTCCTTTTCTTTTTGCTTCTTCAATTGTTGGTCTGTGTATGTGTGTGTCAGAGAGAGTGAGAGTGAGAGTGAGAGACTACATATCATATAGATTTTAGATGCTGGATGTTTCTGGGCTGTCGCTTCTAATGAGATTTCACAAGGTCTCAATTTTTCTTGGCCGGAACTCAGATTTGTTCTTACTCTGCAGGAGTGCATGAGAGGGTCTCCGGCAAAAGCTTATGTTGTATATGCTCCTGTGGAAGTAATTGGTGGTGAAGCCCGACTTTTACGTGCTTGTCGTATCCACAATTTCTGGCATCTTCTTCCCTCACTGTACCCACTAATTTTAATTTCTCTGCATGTGTCATTTCTAACGGAATTTACTACCTGCATTTGTCATTCCTTAGCCTTTCTAGAGGTCATGATTGATGCATTCACTGAAGCTGGTCTTGTTCTTGAAAAAGATGCAAACCGGAAGTTAAAGGTATAGCTTTCAAGGTGTTAATTCTGTATTCTGGTTAATTTGGCCGGCAGTCCCTTTTTCCTGGTGGCCTTTTTCCTTTTTAGATTTGATACCAGAATGCTAGTATAGCTTATCCATGAAATTGTCGTGATAAAAATTACTAAAATTAATATTCTTTTTTTTTGTGTGGCTATTTTCATGTTTTGAAAAGTTCCTGATAAGCCTTTTCTGCCCCTTCTAATACAGTTACATGCCACTATAATGAATGCGCGACACAGCAGAAGGTGCCATTTTTAATTCTTTCATTGCATAGTCTTGTTTATTAGTCGGCTTTAAGTCTCTAGCATGATGCTACCGGTTGCATAACTCTCTTTGTTGTTATGGTTGCCACTGACTTACTGTTCTCTAATTGGTAGCAAAAATAGATCAGGAAATGCTGATTCCTTTGATGCACGAGCAATTTTTGGTCAGTATGGCTCGGAAGAATGGGGAGAGTGTCTTTTACGTGAAGCTCATCTTTCACAAAGGTTTGTGTATGGTGACAATGGCTATTACCATTGCTGTGAATCCATCCCATTTCCTGAAGGGATGTAGCCATGTAGGGTGTGTTTGGTACGAAGAAAAACATCTTCAAAATAATGTTTCCTATGGGAAAATGAGCGAGTTTCTCTCGTATTTTCTAGTGTTTGGTAAGCAAGCATGTGAATATGTCATGTATACTAGTTGGTGAAGACATTATATATGATTTCTCGTTAATCTGTACATATTTGATAAAATTGTTACTAAAATTTTATTGTATTGTATTGTATTGTATTTTATTGTTAAATTCGTTGGTATGTAATAACGAAAAGACCCATTTTATGTAACATACTCATTTGGTGTGATTCGATTGTTACGTTCTTTTTTCCCCCAGTTATGTTACTTATTATTTCATAGTTTTATTTTACTGTTTAACTTCACCTTACCTCGGGCTCCAAAGCAAACATGCACACAAGTGTAATAACATCATACGAACTTGCTTGCTCAAAAACATGCACACAAGTGTAATAACATCATACGAACTTGCTTGCTCAATCAAATCACCAAAATAACATCTAAATCTGTGAATCAATAATAGACATCTAGTTTGTTTGCCGCTTCATTTTTCTATTTATCCCTTTTAGCATTCTCACCTACCATTTTATGCTAAGACCCTTTTTATTGGTTTTGGTTGACCATCGTGCCTTTGATTAATTTCGTTAGGATTTTGCTGAAATTAATATCTTAAAATATTTACGAGGCATAATTGGTGATAAATTAAGAAATTGAGATGTCTTAAATTATTTTGTAATTGTTGATAAATTTAATACTTGTAGTAATTAGGGTATTGGTAAAGTTATTTGTTATCGTACAATACTATACAATTAAATCAAGAAACAAAATATTATTAAACTACATCAAGCGATACAATTTATTAAACAATGAGTACAAACATCGAATATCCAATCAACCTGTGAGGGATGGAGAAAGGACTTGAGGATTTGTAAAACTTGGCGGAATCTTATAATATTGAGTTCCTTAATAGATTGTCGATTTTATTAGAATCTTAAAACAAATTTGAACATCTATGTTTTTTTTTTTTTACATCTATAATTATTTCGTTGAGTTGCCATTTTATCAAGGAAAAAATCAATAAAACAATGTGCATCATCATTAAATTTCAAAATTTGAAGATGCTAAAAAAAAAGATGGATTGCATTCATTTCCTAGGAAGTTTAAATCTTTCACTATCATCTTAACAATAAAGATGAAGACAGAGGGGAATAGAATTTGAGGAAAGAGTGTTCATCGACCACTAGTTCGTAAACTGAATTGCTTAGTTCTGATCATGCATTGGGGTAATTCTGAAAATCATGTCACAAGTTTTAACTTTACGAAAACGGACCCTTTTATAGCATTTAAAGTGAAGCTAAACAAATTGAACAATATCAATAAAATGATCATAGATTGAGGAGTGTTAACCTAATGAGAAGATATATATTATATTTCAATGAACCCATGAACTTTATAAATAGAAGAGCAAGACTATAGGTTATTAACTTATTATCCGCAGAATAGTTTTGTTAGTATGGTATTGTTAGCCTTTGGTTTTCTTACAGAACTATTAGAACTGTTTGATGTTTGCTCAATATGGTGCCAGAATCTCAAAAAGAAAATTAAAAAATTGGGAGGAATATTAACATAGGGAAAAGCTGCACTCTTTTATTCTATTAACATAGTAAGTTGAACAAAGCAGGTGGAAATAATGTGGATCAAACTATTTTAGATTCGAATGCTGTGATTTGCAGGGTTTGTATTTTGCCCAATTCAAATGAGGTGTTACCTCTACTAATGTCTGATGGTGTTGTTTTCCGGCAGAGTGTAACTATTTTTACCATTTGACCAAAGAAAAAAAATAAACCAAAAATAAATAAAAAATATTGGTATTGGCATCAGTTTATATAGGAGATCTAGAGCCTTGTGTAAAAGGGCCTTGTGGGCTTGTTAGGTGTGCTCCTTTTTCTTTTCCTTTTTTGCCCAAAGCTTGAAGCCCCAATGGCCCAAGCTCCATATTCATTGAAGTAGTCCAAGAAGTTAGTAGAAATGGCACAAGGTAGCCACTCTAAAAGGCTGTTATTCAGAAATTAGCCAATCTATAATGAATTTTAGTTTTTCAGTTCACCTTTTTTGGGACATAAATGTCCTGAATTGTCCTAAAATTAAAAAATTTAGGATAAAATAAATAATTATCCGAAAGTATCTGTTTTAAAAAGTATTACAATTCATACCAAGAAAACTTTTTACAAAATACCCAAAAGAAATGCGTATGTTCTATAGTTTTGCAGTATACAATTCACATGTTGTATTCCTTAATAGTATACAACAATGTGATTCAACTATTTTTACTATTGTACACCTTCAGAGTGTAATTATGTGAATTGAATAAAATTGTGTTATGTAATTTTTAATGGACGAATTCTCTAAACGTATATAAGTGGCTAATTGTTTACATCGCCCGGTAGTCTTGTAAAAGTCCCATAATTTTTCAATGAGAGTTGAGCCAGTCAAAAATATTCTTCTAAACTAATCAAACATCAACTTTTGAGTGTCAAGAAGTTTATGTATGCTAATAACAACGAAACCGAACAATTCCTTCCATTTCATCCTTAAAAAAAATTGTTCTCTACTGTAACATACACGATATGTTCACCAGTGACCAGAGGCAAATATAAGATTGAAGAATAGATGTGGACCTGTAGTGCTAGTGGTGGTTAGGTTTGTTAGTTATCCATTAGTTAGTTATAACTAACTTACATTGTACTAGAGTTAGAGTAATTAGAGTTAGCTTTAGTACTAACTAAAGTTAGATTAGTTTTCCCACATTATATATACACATGTACAGATATATATTTTACATTTGGAATGAAGTATTACAATTCTCTCACCTCTTCTAGAATATTCCCTTAGATTCATTCTATGCGACCTCATTCTTCTCTAGCTAATAGAGTAATTCAGCTCAATCACCATGGCAGAGCTCCATGGATAGCTGAGTTTAACATCGTACCAGAGCCACACCACCATTAATATGGTCCTATTGTCTTCAATTTTCATTTTCTCGAAGCTTGAAAGGAGGATCGTCAATGGCGACAGTCGATAATACCGAACTGGAGAAACTAAGTCACAATCATCTGCTCTTCTTGAATTCAAATGATAATTTAGGAGCTATATTGATTTCGTTACAATTGAGAGGACCGAAAAATTACTCCGTGTGGAGCCTAGCGATGAGGATTGTAATCCTAGGTCGAAACAAGCTAGGTTTCATAGACGATACATGCAAAAGGGAGAATTACGATACGAATCTCGTTGACCGCTGGGAACGTTGTAATGCGATTGTACTGTCTTGGTTGATGAACTGTGTTTCTCCGGATTTACTGAGTGAAATGGTGTATTCCTCGAATGCTAGTGCGGTATGGGATGATTTGAAAGAGCGTTTTGATAAGGTGGATTGTTCTAGAATTTTTCAGATCCACAAAGAAATTGCTAATGCTAGATAGGACACTAGCTTAATTTCAACTTACTTCTCAAAATTGAGAGTGCTTTGGCCAGAATTTTATAGTTTGGTACCAATTCCTAGCTATAACTGTGCCAAATCTCGTGAATTCGTTCAGTTTATGGAGTGCCAAAACTTCTACAGTTTCTAATGGGGCTAAATGAGTCGTACTAATAGGCTAAGAGTCAACTCTTGATGATGGTCCCAGTATCATCAGTGAATAAGGCGTATTCTATGCTAATGGAATGTGAAAGCCAAAAGACTATGGAAAATGCTTATGCTAATCTAGATGCTGGTGAAATGGCTGCCTTGTTGACAAATACTGTTAGAAATCAGCAAAAGCCATAGAAGAACTATAATCTCCACTTTGATTACTCCAAATTAAAAGATAATATTAGAGATACATGCTACAAGCTAGTAGGATATCCAAATGATCATAAGTTCAAGAAGAAATACATCTCTCAAGGAACAACTAAGTTGGTGACCGAACAACCTACACCAACAACCTTCACTTTCACTCCCACTGCACCAAATTTCATACCAACAAATCCTACAATTGCTCAACAGCAAGCCCACAGAAGTTGCAGCTAATGCAGCAGAGCTGGAAACAAGTACTATTACATCCTTACTGACTTGTTTGAATCAAGGTGTTTGGATCGTAGATATGGAGCATCCAATCATATGACTCAAAGATTGGATTTACTTCACAATGCAAGTTCATTAAGTAAAGGTGGTTCAGTTCACTTAACAAATGGAGAATTAGCTGAAATTGCCCACAGTAGATCAACTAATGTATTCAGGATCACCCAGAATGCTGTCATCTGCACTTGCGCACACCACAACTGTCATGACCCAAACTGGCACCCGGGTCATACCTGCCGAGCACCAACGTACATTTTATCTAACCTTTCTTATTATCTATAAGGGCCGACGAGATCAACATAAATGTTAAACATGAATCATGAACAACTAACAATGACAGATAATGGCATGAACATACATAACATGGACCGACAAGGCTTCTATGAAGCTATATATAAGGTACGAGCCGACAAGCTGCCATGAGAGACTATACAACAAAAATTAGCCGACAAGGCTATCCAAATTATACACGAGTCGACACCTCTCTATGGGCCTGGAACAAAAGTGCTGCAATATTGCCGAATTAGGGCCCCGACATACTCATAATGTCTATAACAAAAATGCATACCAAGACCACGACAAGTCCGGAGAAGGGATCTCGCCAATAACCGCTGAACTGGACAGCCTACTGTGGCGTGGGAGCTTCGTCTACCTGTCTATCAGGACCTGCAACACGACATGTAGCGTCCATATCACGACCCAATTTCATCATACGCCGTGATGGCGCCCAACACTGTCGTTAGGCAAGCCAACACTGATAAATTTATTGGTTTCCAATTTTAATATGTTTGCAAAGTGAAAAGCTTTCCTCATTGATAAAAGTTTTAGAAATTTACTGCTGTAAAGTAATTAAACAAAAGCAACTGAGAGCAAATCGAAGTCATGATAATAAATCTAAAATTATAAGTCTACTAGTGTGTGCTGGGACCTGATGTCACAAGTGTGTGGGCTACTAGCAGAATATATAAAAGAATACTAGTTTACTGTCTCAAGGAAAATAGACAAAAATATAAATCCAAAAGAGAGACTCTGGCTGTTGCTGAACGGCTCGGAAGGGCAGCTCACCGTGTAGTCTCGAGCTAGAAGTCAAGCATGCGCGTCGGACTAGTAACCAGATGCACCTGACTCAGATCCTGCACATCAAGTACAGAAGTATAGC